TTTCTCTTAAATTCGTAAGCCCAACAGAGGAGAATCTTGTCTTTTCGAACAAGAAAAAAATTGGAAAATGATTGGTAACGCATTCGTATTATGGGAGTTATGGTTTTTTTTGCTTGTTCTTACTCGATACTTCTGTAGAACGATTTAATCCGAAATGAGACATCCCGTTCATTGCTATTATATGAGTTGAGGGACCTCTTTGAATCCTTCGATGCCAGCAATATTGAATGGAATGATCCACTCAGCTTTGGTTGTATTGTTGATCGAAACTCAGACATAATTTTTGGAAAGTTGCCAGAAGAACAAAAGAAGAATTTGAGAGAAATTATAAATTTGGCATATGATCAATACAAAACAAGCCCCGTTATTTCTGACTTGGTTAAAGTCCTTTTAGAAAAATCAAAAAGCTTGAATAAAAGAGAAATGATGATTTCACTCCCACCTATACCAGCAGATTTCCAAGAAAATGATGAGGAGTTTGAAGATATATGTGTGATGCATAGGATCATAGACTCAGTGTAGGTAATTGAGCTTCTCTGTCTTGATAATTAACCAATTTCTAATACTCTTATTCTTATAGCTGACATATCTGGTGCTACTTTAACGATGAAAACAAGGCTAAATACACTGAGGGGACATATATCGTCCGCATAGTGTCCAACTTTCTTGATCCACTGTTTTGCTACGAAAATACCAAACTTAAAATCATCTGGTAAAGTTTTAGATAATGTGTAAAATATGAATTTTTACCAGAGGCGGTCACATAATGACTATAACAAGTTTTACATACATCATAACAGGACCGAAGAAGTCTCGGAGGCATCTCAATGTCGGATGGATGATTCTGGAGAAATCAGAATTGGACACAAGCCCGATTTTCGTGTGAAATCTCCACTGATTGCCGGTGAAGTGGAAATCTGTCTTATGGAGGCCTCACGTGTTCTTCCGACCTATAAAAAGATCCGTGATGATTGGGATAAGTTGGTCAAGCTTATGAAAGATGCTCATGTGCGATTACTGAGGAAACTCACTAGAGGGAGGGTTGGGGACATAAAGGAAATAGAAGAAGATCTTAACAGGGTGCCAGTTTTTGGTATCCAAGTTGCTGGTATGTAATATCACAATTATTTTTTTTTTCACTCAAAACTAACCATTTCTACTTTAGGAGGAACCATGGCATGTTGGGTTATGACTATGCCATTTGGAGCCTTTTACTTTGTTCAACGTCTTGGTTCAGTGCAAATTCCTATGAATCGAGGCCAATCTTCACTTGCCGGATTTATGGATGAATTATGGAAGTTAAGGGTAAGGCTATCGAATGCGGGAAGTTGGATAAACAAACTCCTGGTTAATTAATAGAATTATTTGTAGGCGTCTCTACGAAACCATATTCACACCCTTACTAAGATTGTAGAAAAAGTCGATGCGTCCTTATATAACATAGCTTTTTGTTCACCACAAGCTCGAGAAGATGTGCCCCTTTACGATGGTGAGTTAGTAACGCCACGATCACCATAACAAGATCTCACCGATCCGGGTATTAAAAAAGACAGTGGACCCCTCTACCATTAGGTTTCCACCCAATAATAGGTAAGTATGGAGATATTGTATAAATTAACATGTATCGGTCATGGCTTTGCTAATAAAGAATTCGAGTTGAGAATATTATATATTATGTCGATATTTTCATGTGGTGTGTCTTGTATTGGGATAAAAAAGTTTATACGTCGATTTTTCTATGCCTTGGTATGAGCTTCGCTCTTAATGTGATGCATGGAACATGATTGAGTATCGAGTTGTACATTCCCGAAATAAATTATGTAACGACCTAGATATAGAACGACGCATTATCAATAAACCAGCTATCTTTCTATCGCTCGGCTATGTATGTTCCACGAGACACGGAGTGGCATTTCTCCGAAATACTTCTATGCTGATCCCGATTGGTTAATAATTTTCCGGTTTTTTAATTATTCTGATTGGATGGATCACACCGGAAATTAGCAGGAGGCTATTGGGTAACCGTCGTATACATACCCTTACCGATTACATTCCCACGTTCTTTTCGCGAAAGTATACGCTATTCGTCTTGAGTAGGACATCGGCTC